AGAAAATCTCCCTCCCTCCTTCTCTCCCCATCCTCTCATCACTGTGTCTTTAAAATAATCAATCTTTGAAGAAAAAAGAATAGAATGGATATAAGAGAAACAAAAATAAGTGAACTGCAAGATAGATTAACAGAAAATATTCTGTAGAGATAAACAGAAGGAACATGAGAGAGGGGAAAAAAAGATTGGGGGAAAAAACTGAACAGAGCCTTGGAAACATGTAGGACAATATCAAAAGATTTTACACTCTCATGGTTAGATTCTCAGAAAAGGACAAAGAAATTAGAGCAGACTATATTTGAAAAAATATTCCTGAGACCTTCTCGAATTTAGTGAAATGAAATACACATATAAATTTATTTTTAAGGATTTATTTATTTATTTGAAAGTCAGAATTACACACACACACACACACAGAAAGAGAAAGAGAGAGAGAGAGATTGAGAGATCTTCCATCCACTGGTTCATTCCCCAAATGCGGCTAGACCAGGGTCTCCCATGTGGGTGCAGGAGCCCAAGCACTTGGCCATCTTCTGCTGCTTTTCAGAGACCATTAACATGGAGCTGGATTGGAAGTGGAGCAAATGGGAATTGAACCAGAGCCCAAATGGGATGCCGGTGTCACAGACAGCAGCTTTACCTGCTATGCCACAATGCCAGCCACATAAAATACATATATTTACAAATCAAGAAAAATAAAAAACCACATAGAAAAGTCAAAGAAAACAACACCTAGATATATCATAAGGAAACCATTAAAAACCCAAAATTTTATATTCTGAAATAATCCAGAGAAAAATGACAAGTTACATTCAGTGAGAAAATATCTGAATGATCACAGATGGGGCAGGAAGACAGTGACAACATCCTTAAAGTACTGGGGGGAAATGAAAAACTATTAACTCAGAATTCTATAATCAGCTAAAATATCCATCAGCAATAAAGGCAAAATTCAAATATTCTCAAGTGAAGGAAGTTACAAGAGTAATCATACTAGTAGGAAACATGAATTTTTAGGAAAGAAAAGTGGAAATTAGATAAGCAAATATAAAAGACTTTTTTCCTCTTAAGTTCCATATGACTGCTGAAAGCAAATGCAATACTTATACCCACTCTGACATAATGGCCAGAGGTTGGTTGGTAAGAGAAAGCAGTAAAATATTCGTGAAAGTTTTCTTTCCACATTTTACTTGCAGTGGTATAATATTAACACGAAGCTTACGAAAGTTTAGATGTATAAAGTTACCAACAGAGCAACTATAAAAAAATAGATAAGAATATATCCAAAAAGACAATATCTTAATTAAAATGGAATATTTAAAATATGTTCAAATAATTCAAAAGAGGACAGCAAAGTAGGACCATAAAAACAAAAGCATAGAGGAGAAACAGAAAATAAAATGATAAGACTAACCCCAACTATATCAATTAACTATAAATTATATAAACACAGAAACTAAGAAGAGATTGCCAGATTGGAATTCTTTTTTACTTTTTACTTTTTTTAAAAGTATTTCTTTTTTTATTTTGAAAATAAGAGTTACAGAGAGAGAGAGAGAGAGAGAGAGATCTTCTATCCACTGTTTCATTCCCCAGATGATCACAATGGTCAGCTCTGGTCCAGGCCAAAGGCAGGAGCCAGGAGCTACTTCCAAGTCTGCCACATGAGTGGCAGGGCTCCAGGTACTTGGGCCATCGTCTGCTGCTTTCCCAGGCACATTAGCAGGGAGCTGGATTGGAAGTGAAGCAGCCAGGACTTGAACCAGAACCCATATGGGATGCTAGTGTCACAGGTGGCAGCTTTGCCAGCTATGCCACAATAAAAAAAAAAAAAAAAAAAAAAAAAAAAAAAAAAAAAAAAACGACACATGTGTTGCCTACAAGTAACCCACTTTAAATATAGCAACAAAGTTAAGCAAAAAAAAAAAAAAAGTAAAGGTATATTATGCAAAGATGAAGCAAAAGAAAGCTGGAGTGGCTACATTTGTAACAGACAAAGGAGATTTCAGAGTAAGGATTTTGGGGCTGGCAATTGTGGTATAGTGGCTAAAGCTGGTGCCTATGACACTGGCATCCCATATGGGTTCTGGTACAAGTCCCAGTTGCTCCACTTCCAACCCAGCTCCCTAATGTGTCTGGGAAAGCAGTGGAGGATGGCTCAAATACTTGGGCCCCTGCACCCACATGGGAGACCTGCAAGAAGTTCCTGGCTCCTGGCTTCAGACCAGCCTGGCTCTGGCCTTGGTGGCCATTTGGGGAGTGAACCAGCAGATGGAAGATCTCTCTCCTTCTCTCAGTCTCTCCTCCACCACACACTCTGCCTTTCAAATACATACATAAATCAAAAAAAAAAAAAAAGGATTTTACCAGGGATAAAGAGAGATGGTACATAACAATAAAATAATCAAGTCATAAAACACTTAATTCTAAATGTGTATGCATCAGACAACAAAGTTAAAAAATATATGAAGCAAAACCACCTAGAAATCAAAGAATAGAAAAATTCACAATTATATTTGAAGACATTACTGCCTCTCTCTTACCAAAGGACAGAACTAATAGAGAAAATCAGAAATGACATAGAAGACCTCACATTATTAACCAACTTGATATAATTGACATTTATATGGCATTTCATACAAGGACAACTCATGAAATATCCTTTTGTAGGTAGTGCACATACAACATTCACCAAGATATTCTAGAGAAGTTGAAAAGAACTAAAAATATAAGAGCATGTTTTCTGATGACAATAGAACTAATAAATGCTATATAGTAGTTCACTTCTTTTTCTCTGGATTCTCCTTACAAATGATTTCAAAGCTTAGTAATAACTTAAGTGCTATTAGAGACTGTATTTTGGCACATCATGCACATTTGAGTCTCTGTTACCTTTATTTTTAATGGAAATAAATCCCTAAGGCAAATAACTATTCTCATAATTTCAGTGTATTGAACAGAACAATAACTTCAACTTGGACATTTCGCTTCATAAGTTTAGGACTCTTGGGATGCAATTGTTTAATTCTGAAGCATTCCATTTTTTTTGGTTTGATTTACAGTGTCACAATCACTATATCTTTTTCCTTTAAAACATTCGTCTTTCAATCATTAGTCACTGAGCAATGAGTTTTGTCGGATGGCTCACATACTTTAAACACTGAATAATACTGCAAATACTTTGAAAGCAAGGTAAGATATGTAAGATGAGCAGCTACCAAATAAGCTAAAGGAATCAATTGTGAATTAAATATTAAATGGTACTCTGGCAACCAACAAGAGTGTCATGCAGTCAAGTACCAGGTATGGCATTTCCTGCTATGACACGAGATTGACACGGTCAAATTATTACAAAATTCGTATCATATAATTCTCACTTATTTAAACATTTTATTCTTAGCATAATTTTTCCACCAAGAACTATTTATTAATATTTCACAGAACACTGTACTTGAAAACACAATTTGGGAAGAATGCCTTAGGTTTACTCTAACTAGAAATTGAATGTGCTTTTTAAAAATTATTATTCCTTGCTCTGGATGAACATGATGTTTTGAAACTGCTGAAAATCAAGAAAAATATTTAGGAGCAAAAATATCCTGAAATGTGAGATGAAAACTAGAGCTGACGTGGAAGAGAAAAATGGAAATTCAGTCAAGTGAAACTATGACCACATGGAGGAACAGATTCAAGATTGAGTTATACACCTGCCGTTCGAGAGGACTGGTACTGGGCAGGTTTATGCTCTAGGTGTTAAACTGGACTGTACTATCTCTAGCGTGGTTCAAGTCTAAGTTTTCTTTTCCTTAAAAGATTCAGTGGGAAACTAACCTCACACTGCTCCTACGCTCTTTCAATACAATGATAAACCACTAGGGGGAGAAAACGCAGAGCGCCGGATCCTCTACCGTACTGAGAATCTCCAAAGTCACAGATCCCCAGGGCTGTACCCTAAGGGGACTGGGGTACGAAGCACCAAGACACCAGCTTGGATCTCATCTACAGCCAACATTGCTCCTCTGTAGTCTTTTCTGTAAAAACTGGCTTCACGTGAAGGAAAGTTCGTTTTCTCAGCACTCAGAACTGAATCCCACAAGCCGATTCAAGTCGCAAAAACAAAAATGGAACACAGCAAAAGGTTTTCCCGAAATGAGTCAAGGGATTGCAGAGGGCTGTGGCAGTGCATTCCACCTTGGGGTTGGGCTACTACTTCAAACTGATTCTGGCAGAAAGACGCGCAGCAACGCTGCGTGAAAGGCCTTCTTTCTACAACCCATAACCGCTGCTGGTTAGCCACTGACAGCCGCGGTTAGCCACCGCGCCCCTCTCTCTCGCCCCCCAACTAATCTCGCTTCCTCTATGGGCGTAAAACTGAATCTCACTTGCTCCCAATATTTCATTCTACACCTCTACCCTAGCTTGCGTGCGGCTCGTAGAAACAAATATACGACGCGCACGCTGTCCTAGGATGACACAACACGCAGAGTACTGCAGAAGACGGAGAAATAAACAGTCACACGCCTGAAAAGCAGACCCAACAACACCCCCACTCCGGGCGGAAAAGCAAGGCGCAGACGCAGTGGCAAGCTGTTACCCGATTTGCCCACTTCCCCCGCCTCCTCTCTTCCATTTCACTTCCGCTCCTTTGCCCATCTGCTTCCGGGGCATTGTAGGCTCGGCCCCTCCTCAGCTCTTACCCTCCTCTGCCCGAGGAGGGGGGAGTCGAGGGGGTGGGGAAGAGTTCGTTGTTTGTTTACACGATGTGAGCGGAAAAAGACCAATAAAGTTTATTCTGGAAACAAAAGGAAAAAAAACAGGGGCGACAGAGAAAGGAGACGGGGGCGGGGGCGTGTGGCGGGGGCTAGCGAGGAGAGGGAGCGAGAAGGAGAAAGCGGCAGTTCCGGTGCCGCGGCTGAGGTCTCGGGCTGCTGCTCCCGCGGCCGCTGGGGCTGGGGCTGGGGCCGCCGGCGAGGCAGGGCTCGGGCCCGGCCGGGCAGCTCCGGAGCGGCGGGGGAGAGGGGCCGGGAGGCGGGGGCCGTGCCGCCCGCTCTCCTCTCCCTCGGCGCCGCCGCCGCCGCCGCCGCCGCCGCCGCCCGCGGGGCTGGGACCCGATGCGGTTGGAGCCGCGGATCCTGGAGGAGCCCCGAGCGTGAGTAGAGCGTGGACTGGCCGGGAGCGGGTGCGGTGGCGATGGGGACCGGGTGGGTGCCGGGGACTCCCGGGCGCGCCTGCAGTGTTGGGCGGGGGCTCCCGGCCGGTCGTCTCCCCGCGGCGGAGTTCGTCTGCTATCGCCGCTCGCTCTCCTTCGCCTGCCCCTGGCCTCTCCCAGCTGCAGAGGCTACGGCTTGCCGCTCCCTCTCGGGCCGCCGCCTCACTCCTCATTTCCTCCTTCTCCTCCCATTTTTGGGGATGGGGCGATCGGAGGCTGAGGAAGTGCACCCAGGGCCGCCGCCCCGGCCGCGCTGGCTCTGTCTCCGGCGCCCTGCACGCCCACCCGGCCCGCGGGCGGCGGGGTAGCGGCGAACATCGCGGCGTGAGGGATCCGAGCACTGAGCCGCGAGCTCTTCCTGAGGGGCTGTCACACCCTAGGACTCCGGCCCCGCCACCCCGGCGGCCCTGCTTTTGCCTCTTATTGGGTTTAAATCGCCCGGCAGGGGTATTGAGGGAAAACCGGTCTCCCCACCCCAGAACTCCCCTCCCACCCTTCCTTTTCGAGGTTGTTTTTTCCTTTTAACCGAGACAATCGAACGTTTGGTTCCTTCATTCATAAACTAGACACATTATCTCATGTGACTTGTGTCTTTACGAAGTCTATTATGTGATGACTGTTTGAGAGCTCCGAAGTGGCTCGGAAAGGTAGGGTAGCGCCCCGGATCGAGCTATGTAAACAGCAGACGGTTCAGCCAATGTGTTCTGACCGCGGTTTGAGGGGTTTATTTTAGGATGCTGAAGGAATTGTGGTGATGGTGGCCGACCATGTTACCAGACTCGGGAATCGAAAGCTCTTTTCTTAGATGTCAGTTGGGAAGCTGTTTACACAGTTACATAAAGGGTAAGGGGAGCCCAACAAGAAGGAGCTTTGTAGAAAACAGTCTGCATATTCTCTCATGATCCGAGTTGTGATTGCATCTTGGTGAAGCTTCCTCATTCCAGCACTGAGCCTTTGTGCACATGCAGGCTATGGATTTGCGGAACGATATTTTGGATGATAGGTGGGGAGGACGGGGTGGGGGGGAACCCCTAGGAGACATGAGTAGGTAAATGCCAGGTAACTCAAGTCGGGTGATTTCTATTGCCATTCTTGAGTCACTGCGGGCAGTGTTGATTCTCTGGGTTTTTGCTTGCACCAAACAAAATTCGTTTCGTGTAAGAAAAGACTTGGAAAATACTTGGGATACTGTGTAGCTAGTTTAGTTCGGTTCTCCAAGCAACTGCAGTCTAAGAATTTGTTAACCTGTCTGTGTATTAAAGTTTTAATGTTTCTTTAACTGAAGCATCAGATTCTGGTTAACAGTACAGATCTCCATTTAAACATCACATGTTCTGGAAAATTTTAATTATCAGACTAACAGTTCTGCAATGTCATCAGCCAAAATTATCTGAAGACAGCCGTGTATTTTGTGTGTTGGTGTTTTGTTTTTTAAATTTTCTCATCACATGTTTTGGAACAAGATTGAATGTCATTCATAACTTTTTTCAAAAATTTCTTGTTCATTTTCCCACTAAAATCACAAAATAGGTGATTGAAAGAAATGATAGCAAGTCGTAATAGTAATAGCATCATTGAAATAACAAGAAAATAAAGTAATATCAGGTTAATTATCGTTGACTATGAGTATAAAGTTTGAAAGACATTTATTCAGTTTTAAAGAATTACAAAAATAACATATATAATGCAGACCAATGTTTTTAGATTTTCAGTGAATTGGATATGGCATTAAATACAAATACCGTACATAAGCTGAAAAATCACTTTGAAAGCATGTATTCTCATCAAGTTAGGTATGAGAAGATGTTAAAGAGAAACTGTGAAAAAGCATTAGCTTTGCCTTATTCTGTATGGGACAAGACCTTCAGGAGGCAGAGTTCCTTCCTGTCAGGACAAGATCCTCTTCATCCCAAATGAGTATTCCCTTAACAAAAGGCAACAAATCTTAAAGGGGGCCCCATCCAAAATGAGTATTCTCTTAAAAGATACTTGAAGTAGATCTTAGTAACTTTTCCCCAGGAACAGTTTACTTTGTGTGTAGCTTATTCCTTAATAGTGCCCTTTACTGAGTAAAGATTTTTAAATAGTTGCAATTAGCATTTGAAGGGTATTTGCTGTGTTGATCTGTTTATTTGGAGAGAGCTAACTTTAATCCCATTTGATCTCTTCAGCAGCTAGAATAGCATTAAAAGGATCAATTTTCTAAGTTACTATTTTATATTGTGAATTCTGGAGTGGGGATGATTCTTTAAATGGAATGTGTTTCTTAAACATCCAGTGGTAGTATTAATGATTTTAAAAAATAACTTAGAAGTGTAAGCTTTAGAATGTCATGACTTAAGCAGTTTTCTTAAGTATATTTAGCTATATAACAGTCCTGTAGCTCGAACAATGTTGTTATCCCTAGGAATGATATTCTAAGTCCAGAGGTGGTGGAGGATAGATTCATTGACAAAACTGACACTTTCTGATGCCTTTCGCTATGTCATGCTACCTTTGGTTTTTAGTAAAGCTAATGAAACTAAGAGCCAGAGAAGATTCATTAGTTAAGATCACCTTTCTCTGTATTCGTAGTAATAAATATGCATAACTAATTTCAAATTGGGGATTCAGCCTGGTGGATAAGGCTTCCATGTCCCCTGTTGCCTACGTTCAGTGTCTGGCTCCAGCTCTTGACTCCAGGTTTCTGCTAAGGCAGACTCTGGGAGGCAGTGATACGGCCCAAGTGAATGATTTTCTGCCACCCATGTGGGAGACCTGGATTCAGTTCTTGGCTCCTGGCTTCAGCCTGGTCCTGTCCACCCTTGCATTATAGGCATTTGGGGAGTGAACCAGCTGATAGGAGCACTCTTGCTTGCTATTCTCTCTCTCTCTCTCTCTCCCATCAAATAAATTTTTTAAAGATTTTTTTATATTTATTTTAAAGAGTTACAGATAGGGGAGGAGAGACATACACACATATACACAGGGCTTCCAAACACTGGGATCACTCCCCAAATGGCTGCAACAGCTAGGGCTGGGCAAGGCCAAAGCCAGGAGCCAGAGCTTCTTCCAGGTCTCCCATGTAGGTGCAAGGGCCCAAACACTTAGGCTATCTTCCACTGCTTTCCCGGGTGCCACAGCAGGGAGCTGGATCTGAAGTGGAGAAGCCGGGACTGGAGGTGGTGCCCACATGGGTTGCCAGCATCAAAGGCAAGGCTTTACCTTCTATACCACAATGCTGGCCTCCAAACAGATTTTTTTTTAAAGTTAACCAGGAGTGGCCGGTGCAGTGGCAGAGCAGGTGAAGCCACTGCCCTCAGTGCTGGTATCCCATATGGGCGCTGGATCGAGTGTTTGCTACTCCATTTCCAATCCAACTCTGCTATGGCCTGGGAAAGCAGTGGAAGTTGGCCCAAGTCCTTGGGCCCCTGCACCTGCATGAGAGACCGAGATGAAGCTCCTGACTCCTGCCTGCGGATTGGCTCAGCTCCGGCCATTGCGGCCAATTGGGGATTGAACCAGCAGATGGAAGACCCCTCTCTCTCTCTCTCTGCCTCTCCTTCTCTATGTAACGCTTTCAAATAAATAAATAAATCTTTAAAAAAAATCACCAGGTAATTCTAATAGACAAGATTGTAGTGTCCTGGCTTTAAAAGACCTTTTGATCTCTCTAACTCTGCCTTTCAAATAAATAATCGTTAAAAAAAAAAAAAAAGAAAAGAAAAATATGAGTTGGTGCTTGCTTCTCTCATACCTCCCCTTGGCTTTCCATGCAAATGTTGTTTGTACTTACAGAAATATTTATGTACCCTGTTTCTCTTCCTTAACTAGCTGATTCCTACTCATGTTCCATATCACCTCCTTTGGTCTGTGTTAGGTGTCTCTGCTTCCTGTTCCCCTAGCATCTTGAACTCCCACTATCATAGCATTGATCATACTGAATGCCTACTTGTTTGTCTGTATCCTGCACTGGTATTTTTTTTTAAAGATTTTTTTATTTATTTGAAAGGCAGAGTTACAGAGAGAGAGGGAGAGACAGAGAGAGAGAGAGAAAGAGAAAGAGAGTAATCTTCATCAGCTTGTTTACTCCCCAGATGGCCTCAATGGCCAGGGCTGGGCTGACCAGGAACCAGGAGCTTCTTCCAGGTTTTCCACATAGGTATAGGGGCCCAAGTACTTGGGCCGTCTTCCCCTGCTTTCTCAGATGCATTAGCAGGAAGCTGAATTGGAAATGGAGCAGCCAAGACAGGAATCGGTGCCCATATGGGATGCCAGCACTGCAGATGGTGGCTTAGCCCACTATACCACAGTGCTGGCCCCAAACCAGCCCTGTACAAGTGCTAAATTCCATGAGGGTAGGGACTCTGTCTTATACACAATTATATTCTTATTGCCATGCATGGTAGCTAATACACTATAAGCACTTGAGTGAATAAGTATATTGGAGACAGACTTCTTTACAACATGTAATAATTTATAACCAGATAAGTTTTTATTCTTGCCAAATGCATTTAAAATTTTGGTCACTACAAATATATATCCTTGAAATTAGTATGCATATGATTTTTATTTGTAGACACAATTGAGATGTTTCAGATTGTACCAGAAGTGACACTCTACTTCAAACACATACACAGGCAGAAATGATTATCATTTTTATACAGAGTACTGTACTGGAAGTCAGGAGACTGGAATTCAAATCTGTTTCACCATGAGCATTGTGTCTTTGGGCAAATCAATCTCAATATCTTTGGTCTTTATCTGTAACGGGGATTGTACTAGATTCTCGATATGGTACTTGGTGATCTCACCTTAAAATTCTGAGTGTTAACAATATGGGCTTTAGAATATGATGTCTTGGTTCAAAATCTGATTCTTAAAACTTAACTTGCAGGATTACTTGACAGATTTCCAAATCTGTATAGTGGGGGTAATTACTTAGAGTTGTTGTTGAATTA